ATTAAATAAGATAGAATTAAAATTTTATTTTAAAAAAATAATCTATTAATATTTATCTGAAATATAAATTTTTTTATATCAGATCATAATTTAAATTGTAAATAATTAATTTTTAAAAAAATTAAAATTTGTCAAGTTATTTACCAAATTTTTTTATTTGTTCAAAAGAATATAGATTGCTTCGAAATCAACACAAATTCCGTTTCAACTCGAGACATTTATTATTTAAGACAAATTGTAATAGAAAATATCAAATATTTCTAGACATAAGTCTTAGCAAACTGTTATAACATTGCACGAATAATCCTTATAAAACTTATTTGCTATCACGAAAATAAATTAATTTTAATTTAATACTTTTGTATTAGTAAAAAGCTATTCTGTTTGAGATCATTATTATTTAATATTATATTTTTGTTTCTGTATTGTTTCGATTTTGCGTTTGCTGTGCTTGTGCCTGCGCATGAGCTTGTTGAAGCTCGGGAGGTAATCCTTGTGGTAATGGTGGTGGTCCCTGATGATAATAATAATAAGAATATTAATAATAAATCGGTACAAATTCGAATAATACGGACAATATTCAGCATATTTGATCAAGAAAATACCTGAGTTATCAGCTGCCAAATAGTTGTTTTGCTCTCTTTGAATTGTTTTTCGAGGTATTCTTGTTCCTCCCGCATCAATCTTTGAATTTCAGGTGCTTGCTCTTTTAATGTTCGATAATTTTCCATAAACTCTTGACGCATAAGTTTACGATTATGATCTAGAAGCTGATATTGTGGGATATATTGCTCTTGCTATATTATCCCGGAATGATATTAACAAGTTAACAATACACAAGGTATATTGACATAATACAAAAATTAACATAAGCATATCTTTTTATATACTTACCACATGACCACTCATACCTCCAAGAAAAGAGGCCCAACTTGCCAATCCTTTCTTTGGTTGTTTGATTTCATCCCATTCTAATCTTCGTTTCTCTTTCCATTCTTTCTCCCATTGAGCATAAGCTTTAGGTATATCTTTGCCCTTAAATTGTGCTAATACCGGACGAACATCTTGAATATCAAGTAAACAGAAATCTAAAATTTATAGATTGCGAATATTATAATAACTATTATGAATAGTTCAGACAATCAATATTAATTTTGTCATACTCACGTTCTAAGAATGGTATAATATCTATGAGAAAAGTATCTGATGGATCTCCTGTCCATGGAGGAACTGCGATAGCATTCTCCGGTTGAAGGGAATAAGCATCAGGATTCGAGTCCATAATAATCACTTTTGAAAGGTCACGATTTAATTTAGAAATATCCTGTGATTTTATAAGTATATAAATACATTAGTTCAGTATTCATTGCTTTTATATACCATACGTTTTGTATATTGAAATAAGAGAGAATCAACAACACCTTAACATGCTTGCCTTCAACATATTTTGTGGCCTCCCGGTAAAGTTTAAATGGTACAAGCTGAAAAGGATCGAGCTTCGCTACCACTGGTTCAGCGATCTTTTGAATTTGTGAATTAGTCCATAATTAATTTTTTAGTGATTGATAAGTAATCTTAATTATACTTACATATGTAGGTTGTGATGTAAATATTACAACTTCAAATAAACTTCTCATGTAAGCTAAGAATGTGTCTACACCCGGTCGTTTTGCTGTACGCCATCCATGTTCTCGCTAATAATTTTATAAATCGAATGGTAATGCATATTAAAATTGTCATCTAAAAGGAAAATGTAAAGACGATGAATAAAAAAAAAATACTTGCATCCCAGGTAGAAAATATTAATGTTTGGTCCAAGTTTATTACAAGTGTATGTTGCGGATAATTTAGTATATTTTCTTTATCAGGCAAAAGTTTGTCGGATGGAGGTTCAGTGAAGAACTTTTAATAATGAAGATTCATATCATTGCACTAAGTTGAACTTGTGCGTATAATAAAAGTAGAAAAAGGAAATATTTGTTTTGTAATATACTCACTTGAAGGAAATCTTCTGTCCGCGCTTCTAGTCTTTTGTACCATGCTAACAATGGGTGAAGATTTGTAAACTAATCGAGATAAAAAAATTTGCGTTTAGTTAACATACAAACTAAATCACCAATAATAAATATTTACTTGTTTCTCTCGTTCATTTTCAAAAGGCCTTCCTAAAAATATTTGGGAAGAATAAGCATATCAAATATTATCTAACAGAAAATCAACAACACAACTCCTACCAGAATATATAATTAGCGCAATAGTACCCCCAACAAAGGTTATGGATAATAATTCAAATATCTTCAATGCTGGGCTGGTGTCACTTTCAATTTTCGTTTTTGCTTTTGGTTTCTTTGGGAATTTTGAACCAGGAGGAATTTGTCCTGGATTTTTCAAATTATTATAATTTGTCAATGATCCTTCTTTTACTTTTTTTGTGTTGGGACTTTCGCTTGATTTCAGTGTTTCAGTCGTATAGCACCGATTTGGAACAATAACACAAAAAATATTTACGCGTTTATTATTGTTGAATGGTAGTAATAGTTTATTTAATGGAGAAGACAGTGTAGCAATACGTTCTCTTTGCTGAGCAAGATCTAGTACTGCGTTTTTATTGCGATTACTGATATCAGCACTACTAAAACGCGAAAATTTATTTGTGCAAAATTGCTGCCGTTTAGATAAAGCCAGCAAGGCAGCAGATTTTAATCTACCTGACAACGGGGAAATCATAATTAATCGGGAACTAAGTTATTATCGAGAAAACAAAATTTTGTTATGACTATGACGTGTTATTATTCAACTAACGCTTGGATTGGCATTGCATATATACTTTACCAAATTTAGAATAATGATAAGCATTTGTACCAATCTACACTTAAAGACGCCGATCACGTGACTTGTCCCATTTTGCGCCAAAAAATCGATTTTTACATACTTGTCGAAAAATCACGTGATCAAAAAATCACGTGTTATATAGTAATAATATTATATTCATGAATAATTTTTTTCTTTTTGAAATATTATAAAGTAGTATCTAGTTATAATTAATATCATATAATTCAGTATGATAGGATATA